GGTTGCATTTTCTGTTCAATACTCTAAAGGAAAATTTAAATTAAGAGCACTGCAAAGAATTCAAAATAGTGGTTGATTCTTCACTTCAGTCGTGTTGTATGATGTTGTTTGTATGCAGTGTTTCAGCTGGGCCGAGTTAGACAATACTTGAAGTTATGCTTTTAAATTTTTTGTCCATACTTCTTTTGTGGTATTGATTTTCATTTGGTGGTTTGTCATACAATGCACTTCATAGTGTTGTTCAATCAAATCCACATATTTTTTAACGGTTGATGTTCATTTTCTGCAAATGTTTCAGTGCATTATTGTATAGTGATGTGAAGTGAGCCATGACTGATTGATTGGTTGATTGGTTGGCTCATCCATTGAATGATTGGTATGGAAATCTAAACATTTTTTCTTTCTTATTTCCTTGTTTGATGAGAAAATTTGTGTAAATGTAGTTGTATGTTACTGGTGTTTTGGATGAAATAGGAGATTGAGGTTCATAAATTGGTTTTACAGTTGCCCCCCCACACTAATATACTATATGAAGTTGTGATGTCTTAGAGGATTAAATGTACCTCAAATGGCTGACAGTCACTTCAGATTTGCCTCTAATAACTGAATTGAAAGTGACTTACTATATACATGTATTCACATGTATTTGAGAAGCATAATAAACATAGAGACAGTCATTTTGCTTCTTCCTTGAATATCCAATGTCATTGTTCCTGCTGTATTCAACCTTTATTTTGCTTGATTTGATTTAAAAAACCCATTTCTGTTTGTCCCTTATTTCTTTATTTAGAACTTTCCTGTTATATGTGAACATTCAAGAGGCACAGTAACATAATCTGATATCTAATATCTATTGTCTGAGTGCTGCAGCTTTGGCTCATCCACTCATTTCTGTTGCTTGAAATGCTCATGACCTTGGAATTTAATCTTATTCGACCCATGCTCTCATTGTAAGTCACTCTTGATAAGAGTGTCGGCTAAATGCCGAAAATGTAATGTAATGTCTCACTTTCCTGAAATGTAATTTTTGTGTCCTTTTGATAGGTCATACAACACGAGGTGGTGTTTATCTGTCGCTACGAGCTGGGTCACTGCTAGATACTGAGCAGGCCATCTCATAATGGATACGCTGAAAATGTGAGCAACAATTTATTAACAAGAGAGAGAGAGATTAAGTGAAAATCAATCCTTCGAGTCCAGACAGAGCTGCACTCTGTGGTGAAGCATCATCCAAATCACTTGTAAGAATCTACTTGTAAGAAGACGTGTCTTTTTCAATGCAAGTTATACCTTCTGACTGAGCAGGCAATCTTTATGTGTATATACGTATGCGTTGAGGAAAGCCTTTGCTCTTGCAATAAGTATTTTTTCTTTGACTGTTTTCTGAAGCATGCATATTCAGAGTATGGAATATGATTAATATCTCAACAGTCAGTCACTGAAGCTTACCATCTCAGTTTCTAATTACTGCTCTCTGTTATTGGCTGACTAAAGCCATTGCACAGGTTCCTGCACTCTCTGATTAATTCTAATAAAAGCTTAAGGATCATTGCCTAAAATGTGGCATAAGATTGGTTTTTGACAGACACTTGGTTGAGTATTTTGATCATGTCCCAAAGACTTTTACATTCAGTATACAATGCACGCAGCAAAACTGACCAATTCTGTGATTAACTGCTGGATACTTAATATCTTTCTAAGAATATTTCCTCTTCATGTAAACACGAGAACCACAAGAAAGTGGTGCCGAAGTGAAAATTTGAGCTCAAACAGTTCAGTGAATGGTTAAATGGAAGGAGAAAACGAACATGATGAGTACAAAACTCTGATATGAGGAGGATTAAAGGGTGTTTTGAGCTCACATACTGTGGTGTTTCACATCAAAAGGAGACTCTGCACAGGGAGTTTAAGCTGCTTCAAGTATCTAAACGACTCTTAAAGACATTAAAACTGGCAAAATCATGAACTTCCATAAGTGAAAACACTGTCGTAAGGATTTTCTTATGTTCTTCTCTATTGGTCCTCATCCATATATATATATATATATATATATATATATATACTCATCATTTATCCAGAGAGGCCTACATCCATTAGATCTCATTAAGATTTGTTTGTAATGTCAATGTGCCTCGCAGCGCTTTTGAGGGCATTTGAAATATTATATACCCTATCAAAATGCTTATTGAGATAAACTAGATTTTGTGAGTGTAAAATGTATAAAAACGTGGAGAAATGGAAACGTACAGTGGCACACACTTGCTTTAGTTTTTCTCATTAACCAGTATTCCTCTCCATGTAGACGTCTCACTGCCTCCCTGTCTGCTTTTCACCTTATTAGGAATCCCATTGGTTTTCACGGCAAGCCAGAGCTACGTGGTGTGTATGTAGGCAAGTATTGCAAAGAAAACCTCTGGGATCTATTAAAGGCTTCCCTTTCTTGTCTCTAACTTCAACCCACTTTTAAAACAACTGCGCAGTTCTTTAGACAGAGGCAAATTGAAGTGCAACACATGAAGGAATTGACTTTTATGTGTCAATCTGAGCAATCACTAAGTGAGATGAGCTGGCTTTGAGTCCAAGAAGGAACAGTTTTGAAGGGAAAGTGGGAAGATTGAAGAGTGTTGAATATTAATATATAAGGTTATTGATACAGATGAAGTTATTCACATAATCTTCAGTGTTTTATTATTACTTTCACTATCAAAGAAAATAAGAAGCTCACACAGAGAATTATCCCCACCCACCACCTGTGAGAGCTTTGCCCCCAAACAGCTTTAAATCTGCTTAAAGAAAGACAAATGATTTTGGAGGAAACAATAACTTAAACACATAACTAATTCATAATTTCATAAATATGGAGCTGTTAACTGAGGCCACGTTGTGCTGTTTATTGTGCATGATGTGAATAATGCAGGATTACATGCTCTGCTATTCAGTGATAAATAGCTGTGAATCTATAAATCTGTAAATGCAGTTTATCTTGCTGTCCGCTGATATGCAGGATTCTGTATTATACATGAGCATAGACTGACAGAGAGGACCGCAACTGTGTGACAGTGGTAAAAATTATGAACATTATTTCACACGCTGGCCCACAGCTGATTATGTTGAACATTTTCACGTTACGACTGACTGAACTGACAGTTTATTATATTGATTGTTCCCTATTGTGTATGATGAACGCAGTTTTCTGTGTTGACCTTGCAAATTCTTTTTAGGGAAATGCATGCTGTTCTATTGCAATGTATTACAGTGTTCATTGTGTGTTGTGTGCTGTATCGCATATTATGGGGAACTGCAAGTGAAGTGCAAGTGTATCTGTTGGTAGTTCACAAAAACTGCTTCAACTGAATGAAATAAATATATAAATGGATTTTTTTTTAAAAAAGTCAGTACACAACACCATTTTAACATGCTAACTGCTGTTCCCTGTGGCGAACATGATAAAGACAACATTTTATTTTTTTGTTTGTATCCTGGCTATGTGACTCAGCCCTGAGTAAATCTGGCAAAGTGTACCGTGTGACAGATGATCCCATCTGCATCACAGTCAGCGACAAGCGCGGGACTGTCAGGTGTCTCATCAACACATTTCAACGGGAAAGCTCAAGGGGAAGCAGCGCCAGAGCATAAACACCGTGCCCAATCACAGCATATTAATCTAACATACAGCTTGACTTCACCCCTTTTAACAAACGTGCCAAAAACGGTTTTGTGTTATTTTAAGATTCTTTAAATTTGAATTTGACTGATTAATAAATATGAGATTAATACATCTGTTATACTATGTTTTCATACTAGGATAGCATACCTGTTAGTTTTCTATTGTAAGCGGTGCCCTGTAAGCCCATCTGGGCTGAGCACCCATGCCTCTATGACACCAGAGTAAAAGAATATTGATTCACTCACACCTTTATTAGTGTTATTTTTAGGATCACACTTCCACCTGCCTTGTGCAGTAAAAACGAATCACCGCGAGAGAGCACAGAGTCTAGATTTGCACTGGAGAAATGGAAAAGTTACATGTCTAGAATGGATGAGCTGAGCTGTGTTCTTGTGTTTGCTTAGCGGGTGATAAGTTCTCTATCAAAAGTGACACAGCCTCAGTATGTGAATAAGACTAAGGCTACCTGCAGTATGAAGAGGCACTTTATATGCTGCAGGCTGGACTTGATTATACTGCCCTGTTGGACAAACAGTGACATTAAGTCAGAGGGGAAGCCTGTAGAACATCTGTCCCAATGGCAGCAACTCCCTCCTGTGACCTTGATGACAGTGTTGGCGTAAAGAGAATATGACTCTCATGCTAAATGAGGAGTTCATTAAACAGTCTGAATCACATTTCAGCCTACAGTGTGTCTCAGGTAGAGTTCTTCAAAATATCGGGCCTGATGATGATATTTGGTCAGTGTTGCTTAATTGTTTTTAGCAAGAGAACTCAAGGAGGATGTCTGATAAAGAAATTATAATAGTACACACATTTCATATGAATTCCTGATCTTACCGGATGCTGAGTAGAGAACAGAAAAAATAGCTAAAATGTAGGTATTTCAGGATTAACACCCTTTAAATCCAGTCAATCATACAGAGTTGATTAGTCCTTTCACAATTTTCACCCTGAGGTCATGGAGAACTGCTCTGAGAACAGTTCCACATTATTTTTTGTGCTGGTGCCTGACCTTGTAGGGCGAATAGAATAAGAAGAATAAGAGGAGATGACTCTGACTTTGCATACACTTCACTTTCTGTGCTCACTGGATTTCTCCACTTGATGGTGGAAAAGCCTCAGAAAAGTTCAGCACTGGAGCCAAAGAGCAGTGTCGACAATAAAACGCATTAAGAGTCAAGGGCAGTGTGTGAGAATATAAACTCACATAAGGTTATTGTACTTCTTCAAAATGCAATGCAATGGTGTTTTCAGTTGCAAGGGAACATGGTGAGTGCCACTCAGAAACAAGTCTGCAACGCTAAGAGTAGATTAGAAATACCTGACTTACCTTCTGCAAGCAGGCGCACCGCGTGCACGAAGGAGGGATCCAAGCTGTTTTTCTCGGCCACCAATTCAGGTAAGTACTTATCTGGATGCATTATTATCAAAGCGGACCTCTTCTCCGGGCGGAGCAGGTGAGACCACAGGACTGCTGAGCGTCGGAATGCAACTATAAACCTTACCGCTCCTGCTTTTGGTAGCTTCACTCTGCCGGTCTTAATGAGCACCACAAGCAAAACCCCCTCCAAAAAAAAAAAGAAAAAGAAAAAAAAAAGAAAAAAAAAGGTAAAAAAAAAACTAGTCGTCCTTTAGGTTTTCAAGATGCTTGACTGGAGGGTGAGTAGTGATTCAGATGTGTGAGCCCATCTCTGCCACCGCTACCTCTCCTCGGCACCCCGCCAGACTCTCAGACTCACTGGGTCTGCAGACCGCGCTGCTCCCCGCCCCTCAGAAGCATTATTGGCCATATTCTGGGACTGGCGCTGCTGGAAAACAAAGACGGTCCCCGCTGAGCGCATACCAATTGGGTGATGTGCTCGGAGGGAATGGATTAAAAAAAAAAGTTGAGGTTGCGATTGGTCGGGGCTCACATTGGTCCCTACAGTAAAAATAATAAAAAAAAATCCCTCCAAAATGCATGATTCAGTCGGTTTATTAAAAGTTTTATGATGGATCCTATGCTGAAAATAGTCCCTTATGGAAAAAGAAGCAAGTGATTGCATTTAAGAATACTGTGCAACAGAACTGTAAATGTTGTGTGGCTTGAATGGGTTAAAACCGAAATTGACCCATAGTTAAACCATCATAGGCCACGGTAAAGTCGTCACCCTCTAAGTCCTTATAAGCATATTATCAAGATATATACTATATTTTTAATCGGGGGATTTTCTAAGGCAATCAGATGAGCTTAAATTATAACTGACTTTGATATTACAAAGATTAATTATAGCTAAATCAGTAACGTCATACTAGTGAGAGATAATAGCTTATCAACGGCAAACGTACCTTATCCAATTACTTTCTCGATTCAGCCAATGTATGGTGGCCTGTGAGTTTCAATTAGAGTTTTGCTAAGTTCACTCCAGTGTGTTCTTCTGTCATAATGAACAATGCACTGTGGTTCTGTGGCCCCTGGCTTTGTAGCCTGAGGTACAAACAAAGAGTTCAGTTGTGGCTTCTGTGTTTCTGTCCATGGTGCTGAACAACACCTGCATGACTCAGACCTCTCTTGATGTTGGTCGCACATGTGGAGAACGAGCATTTCTGAAGCTATAAAATGTTTTTCATGACATGTACTTCCAAATGAAAGGGAGCAGGAAACAACATCAAGTAATTACTTTCTTTAGCTGTGTGCTCTCTTCAGTCCACCCTCGCAGCCTCACAGAACCTGATCTACTCCCACATCTCTGTTTAACAGTTCACAAAGAAATTTAGCTGTATTATTAAATCACTGTTTGGCATCTGCCTGAAAAGCTCTGCAAAATGATGCCCAACAAGAACCTTTTTGAACTGAATTTTATGGCCACAGGAAGGGAGGGGAGCAACATCAGTGCTGTCATTTCATGTTACCTGTTTGCTGGTGATTTGACTTTTGGCTTATGTAGAAGTATTTGAGAATATCGCTCATTTGTTTTCTCACACAGTTACATTATTAACTTGCAATCCCATCCCAATATGCAGTCCTTTTGGTTAACTCTCAGTAAAAACTACACAATATTTTCTTTCTAATGTGACAAACTGTAATCGGTTTTCTTTTCAGAGTGAAGCAAATATGTGTACTGTACCTACACAATGCCCTTTGTTGCAATAAGATGTTCTGCAGGTCATATACTGTATGCTGGCTGGGTAAAAGAACAGAGCTGCAATCCCAGCACAAGAGTCAGAGTAATGTAGAATAATGTAATGATTTTCACTTCCTGCCCTCTAAATGATTTGAGACGGCTTAATTGTTCCTCGCAGGGGTCAAGTCAAGAAGAGCGTTTTATGCTTGGGAAGTGAATTATAGGACACTACCTTAAAGAAGTTTTAATGTCAAGTGAACGCTTCATTAGCTCCTTACAAAGCAGTGTCAGCAGTGTCAGCAATGTAAGCATGAACGTTTGCATCTCATAATGCCCCTCTTACAGCTATGATATCGACTGGAATCCTGCACTTATCTGCAGCACAGCATGCTGGCTGCTTTACTTACTTACTCACAAATGAGTTTTGAGCAGAAGAGGCTGGTGAATGACCAATTCTAGCTCTACTTGACCTTTAGAGATGATTCAGACTGCACTGATCAGAATCATAAAGACTGTGGGGCTACAGGTGAACATTGGTCTTTTAGAGGTGCTCTACTACACATTAGGGACTGACCATGTCAATAAAAATTGAGATAAATTATACAATTTCAAAGTCTGTGGATGTGCACAGATCATTAATTATTCTAAATCTAATTTTAGTGACTGTGTGAGCATGTTGTCATTATTCATTACTTTAATTTTATGACTCCTTCCTTCAGTTGACCTATAGTGTCTTGACATGAGTATGAAGTATGAAGTTACTGTTTGTTTGGGAGACTAAAATATCATATGATATGTAGATTACCCATGTTGGTTTGTTTTAATTTCTATTAAAGACACTATTTTATTAACAAACTTTTTTTTTTCTCTCTACGTCTGTATAAATATTTGGGAATACCATGCATCCCTAGAAGTGGTCGAAAGAGTACAACTTCACACTTGCATGTCCTTGCAATATTTTAAATTAACGATTCATTTCTCTCTGAAACGAAGCACAACTTCTTTTTCTCCTTCATGGCCTAAAGCAAGTGACTTCATTCATGTCAGCCGTACTGTCTTTGCGTTTCATGCTTGCTGGACCTCCACTGATGTCATTTCATTCAATAAAATGATTCATAATCTTGCTGCCGTTACAGTGGTTAATGATGTTGATTATGACTATTAATATGGTTTAATCTTGTAATCCTGTAGTATGGTTGTAGCTCCAGTCTAAAGCAGGCAGACTGAAAAAAACAAGACATAAAGTCGTTCAGCCTAACATTGAAAGAAAGAGAATACGACTGGGGAAAATAGCTTGTACAGTGATGTATGTTGTTGCAGAGAGAAGACTTTTATCAGACTGTTGCATGTAGCAGTATTGTGATTGACACTTACATTTTAACTTAGACAGTTTTCTGTATAGATACTGGAAATATTCCAAGTTTTTCAACTAGGATTTCATGGATTCCTGCAGCTCTCTAGTGGTCAAACTGCAACATTACACATTTCACTGCTACATCCGTGTGCAGATAAGCCTTTCAAAGGTTTAATACATGATGTTTCATAGTGTGTGCATTTCATTTGCAGTATGTATTTGTCTTGTGTGTGTTTACTGATTTATTTGCATTATTTGGTGTGAAGATGATAAATCACATTGTGTGTGTATTTTGTTATGCAGGGAAGGTGTGATGATGACTCATTCCTTCATTTCTGGCACAATCGAGGGGCTCGTGTAGTTTAACACTTTTTGTATGTGCTAAGATTTGTAACTATATGTATCACTAAAGACAGCTGTTTTATTATGCTTGTGAATGGTGAATACCAAGTTGTCTCTGTAAAATTTTTATTTATTACCCAAGTCACGTTTCCTGCCTGAAGCTGCAGTGTGAGATCAATGATTAACAAGCTTAACAATCTTTTGCTTTGGACACAAATACCAACAATCATCTCAAATCTGTAAACCCCCCCCAGAACATGGAAGTTTACTGATCTATTTACATATAACTTGAGGTGGTGATAATTATGTGACCACTGCTGAAAGGCTTTTTTCTATGCCCATTGTGATTGCTTGGCCAACTGATAAACTCTGTCCTCGGTTTGCCCCCAGTTAGCCCTGCCTTCATCAAGCTGGGCAGATGCTTCCAAAAATGTGTTTTTACATTTTTTTTTTCAAAATAAGATTGTAAAACAACTCTGACCTGTACAACATAATCACAACAAAGTGTGAACTGTAAACTAAAATAGGAAGCCGCCTGGGGGACACACCCTATAAGCTATATGTTTATTTATTTATTTGTTTATTTGTTTCTGTTGTTGTTGTTGTTTTGTTTGTTTGTTTTAGGCGTGCGGTTGCAGTCCTGTTAATATGATTTGCAATTTATTCTCTATATTCAAAATGTTTTGAAGCCATGTCCGTTGTGATTTTATTTTTTTCTAGAGATAATTGATCAGGTAGAACAAGAGCAAAGGGTGTGTATTACCTGATGGGACACATCTCAAGCAGGTTTATCAGGCCTACTTGTAGAGGCTTATTATGACTGATCCATGGTAGATAAGCTTCAGCTTTTTAGATCAACTGTTGAATTTTTGTTTTATGCCTTTGTTTTTTCCAGTCCTCAACAATAGCTGTCCTTACATGAATAAGTATGACAGCATATGGTGCATTCACACTCTTTCACTTTTTTCACATTTTGCTATGTTGCAGCCTCAGGCTATAATTGTTTAGATTCAATTCAAATTTTTTTTTTTTCTAAACTAAATACCCAATAATGACAAAGTTAAAAAAAGAATTTTAGACATTTTTACAAATTTATTCAAAAGGAAAAAACTTAAATATCACATTGACGTAAGTATTCAGACCCTTTGCTATGACACTTGACATTTAGCTCTGGTGCCTCCCATTTCTCTTGATAATCTTTGAGATGCCTCTTCACCTTGATTGGAGTCACCCTGAGGTACTCTCAGTTGATTGGACATGATTTGGAAAGATACAACCTGTCTATAAGGTCTCACAGCTGACAAAAAAGCTCCAGAGATCCTGTGTGGAGATGGGAGAAACTTCCAGAAGGATAACCATCACTACGACGCTCCACTGGTCCAGCCAGACGGAAGACTGTCCTCAGTGAAAGTATCCCAACAGTGAAGCATGGTAGCATGGTGGTTGCAGCATCATGGGGAGACTGCATGGTTGTGGGAAAACATGGTTGTGGGAAGTACAGACGTATCCCTACTGAAAACCTGGTCAAGTGCACTCAGGACCTCAGACTGGGCCGAAGGTTGACCTTCTGAAAGGACAATGACCCTAAGCCCACAGCCAAGACAACACAGGAGGGACGTTTTAGGGATGACGCTGTGAATGTCCTTGAGCGGCCAAACCAGAGTCCTGACTTGAACGCCAATTGAACATCTCTGGGGAGACCTGAAAGTGGATGCCCATGGACATTCCCATCCAACCTGACAGAGCTTGGGAGGATCTGCAGAGAAGACACAAAGATTGTCATGTCATACCCAAGAAGACTCAAGGCAGTAATGCTTCAATTAAACATTGTGTAAAGGGCCACATACCTAAGTCAATGTGATATTTCATTTTTTCCTCTATTAAATTTCTTAGATCCTGTGTTTGCTGTGTGCTTTGTCATTATCAGGCATTGTGTGTAGATTGATGAGGGAAACAAATTTAATTTAAAGGAGTTTAGCATGAGGCTGCAACATAACAAAATGTGAAAAAAGTGAAGGGGTGCACTGTGCTTATTCATGCAAAGAACATCTGGAAAACACACAATTGATACTTTTACGCTGACCCTCTAAGACGGTTGTTCTCAAGGTTCAACAAATTGGTCAACACGAACTTTATTTTGAAAGGTTGTACGGGAAGTCTGATCTTGGATTATATTAGACTTGACATTAGTGTGAAGCCGCAAGTGGCCGGCGAAGGGGAGCAAAACACTTGTCAAGTCCCACAGGACCACGTGAGTATGGCGGAGGGTTTCTGAAGCTTGAAGATTGGGATGTTTGATGTTTAATTAACATCTGTACAGCGTGACTCAGCCAGCTGTTGGACTTTAATAACAGACAAGTAAGTGTTGACATCTGTTTACTGTGCCGAACAAATGTCCTTTTGCCGACTGCTCCATAGGGTTCACACTGCCTGAGGGGTTTCACACGTGTCCTGCTGTTCAGTGGTGAAGTCAAATCAGCTCTTGGAAAACATGAAGGAATCAGCTGAATGTTTCACCAGATGACCGAAGAAATCATCCAGCACACACAAACTCAGAGGCTTAACTGGGAGAAATGCCAATAGCACTACAGTTAATTATGAAGGTGTAGCCTGCATGTAAATGCAATTGATGGTTCAAAGCTGTTTTCGCCATTAAGTGTTATGGCTTGGTTATTGCCGATAAATACTCACTTGAATAAATGTCTCTATGTTATACTGAGTAACGCATCAAACTAAAGTATATGTTTACATTTTATTTACCTGGGCTAATGGGGTTCATTACGAGCAGTAAAAGCTTGCCAAGAGAAGATGGAAAGGAGAGAGGAAAGGAGAGAAAAAAAATATCAGTAATATTAATGAAAATCATGAAATCAATTGCAAGAACAAGAAGCTAGAAAATAGTGAGTGTGTTGATTTAAAAGCGGCAGCAGAAAACACTATAAAAGTAGCTAAAAATACGTTTATGCATGAAAAATATAGTTGCTCTGGTAGTGTAGTTGCTCTGCTTAGAAACTGAGTTTCACAGGTCACTTTTGACCTTGAAAACAGCAGTTGACAAGGTCCATTTACTAGCTGTTCTGGAGCTTTCCATCATACAAGATGATCTTGGACTTGAGGTTTGAGGCTGCAGGTAAAGAAGTCTGAATTAGTCTCACATCTAAACTGAACTACATCTGATGTAAATATTACTACTCATAACCAATTTAAATGTACAAGGCAAATAAATAAAAAGGTTTTCAGAGTGTCCTAAAAGGGCCTTTCCACATATTTTGAATTAGTACAATTTTGAATTAAAACATTTGTTGCTTCATTGTACTTTTTTACTGTTTTGATAATTCTTCTTAAATTGTATTTTGTGCATTGCTCTCAGCCAATTCTACATGAAATAGAACAAATAAAAGTGTAACTAAGTTGCAAAGGCACAGAGAAGACTGTGTGGACATTACATAACCAATGTTTCCTCAGCTATAACTTTTGTCAAACTCCAAAAATGACTTTGTCTTTTTTTCCCTGCAGGAACTTAAAGATGTCAGCTGTTGTAGTCGTGCATGGTGGGGCATGGGCCATACCAGATGAACTGGCCGAGGCCTCTGTTGATGGAGTGAAGGCTGCTGCATGTGAAGGATTTTCTGTGTTCAAAAGAGGAGGAAATGCAGTGGATGCCGTTGAGGCAGCTGTGAGAGCTTTGGAAGATAACGCTGTGTTTAATGCAGGTACACAGGGTTAGTCTTACTGTATTATGTGAACTGATGAATGGATCTTAGTAAAAGTTGTTTAGGCCACAGCTGTTGGTACAAGTACTTTTCTTGACTCACTGTAGTGAGCCAGTTAAAAAAACAAAAAACATCAAAAAACAACTAAGACAACAACTCCCCTCGCTGTCCACACAGGAGCCAGTCATTGATCGCCCCCTTCTTCATTAATGCAGTCATCTTTGTCTTTTGTGCTCTGTCTCCATCTGCTGGTGGTGATGCCAACATACATTTAGACTTCATAAAGAATCTGGATGATGATGATTATGGTCATCAGATGTGATGCTCCTGATTATGGGGCTTATCTTCATAATCCAGCTTTAGTCCCAGATGGAATCTTCACAAAAATCAAATCTACATTTTAGATTATGTCTATAAACGAGTCTGTCTTGTCTGATATATATTATATTTGCTCCCTAAGCACAATCCGCACAAATTGTGAGATACATACTGTTTAAGTGTCGGCTTAAACTTGCTAAAAAAGAAGGTAGCATACAAGGTTGCAGTCTTCTCCTGCTTAAATTAACATTCACACCTTTCGGGTATAACTTGAACTCAAAGTAAAATGAATATATATGTGAATAATGTTCACTTTAGGGTCTTGACCATGACCACTGACATATTGTGAGTGTAATTTTTATGCCTTCACGCCAGCGACAGCAAGGGCCGCAGCCATTCTTGTGAATGGGATATCTCAGTAACGCTGGAAGGAATTTCTACCAGTTTGGTACAAACTTCACCTGGACTCAAGAACAAACTGATTAGATTTTGGTGGTCAAAGGTCAAAGGTCAAGGTCATGTTCTGATTGATTGGCACAGTCCACTAATCAGAATGCAGCTACAAATCAACCAATCAGAATAAGGCTACAAACCCACCAACCAGAATGCAAAGCAATTATGACAAATGGTTAATATTTTATATGACTCTTGAGAAACAGGAATGTAACCTGAAGCTAGTCTGAATGACTGAGCCATACAACTGTGAGGTGGTAATTCTAGTTATTAATGATTCAGCGTAAAGAATCATAAGCACAGTGATGCATATCTTACAAAGTATTCTGTCAGGATGAACACTATATCAGTCATTAGTGCTGTTTTTGTATTACATTGTCACCGCCCTGTGGACTTGTGAGGATGGAGCAGGCAAAGTAAAACTGAATAGATGGTAACTGATAAACATAGCTTTTAACCTGAAAAGATGATTTCTCGAGACCGAAAGATGAAAAAGTGTACAAATCAGACCAACAAGTCAACACTTAAGTTTGGCTGGTTTATTTGTGCACAAAGTACAGATCTGGTGCAAATACACCAAGTCTCTCACTGAATGACAGAACTTGAGCTGCTTATATCCTAAATTGATCTGGGTATGGTAACTATCATCTGTTAACCTCAAGACCTTTCCCTCCGTGTCTCACTTTTATTGCTTACATCCTCCTGGAAGGGAGTGCATCACTAAATCTCTGCAGGGATGTAGATAAACTCCTAAACAACAATATAACCATAAAACCCAGATGTGTGATTGTCTCCTTGGTATTCTGCCCCCCCAAAGGTCAGCAGCTTTCCTAAGGTTCACATTCTTAACATCCTTAAACCAAAGTTGCCAACATACAATACAAATACAACCTTACATAACCTCAGCAGACAAAGTTAGAAGGAAAACATATTCCTGTTCACTTTCCATTGTTGTCTGTTGTTAGACTTTATTTAGTTGCTAAGCACCAGCTAAGGCCCTCCAGTTTGATTCCCAGCACTGTTAGCTGTGAGAACACCTGCATCAAATGTTTGTCTGAGCCATTGTTGCAGTTATTTACTGATTGTGACATTTAATTATAGGGCATGGAGCAGCACTAAATACTGATGGAGAAGTGGAGCTGGATGCCATTATCATGGATGGAAACACACTTGCCAGCGGTGCGGTGTCTTGTGTCAGGAACATTGCCAACCCTGTGTCGCTGGCACGGGCAGTGATGGAGAAGGTGTCATTCTAAACGCTCTTTAGTTTCCCTTGAAAAGAAGCAGTAGGAGATCACTGACACTCACTGGCACTGATTTGTGACTACTGATTTGGATCCTTTTTTTTTTTTTTTTTTTTTTTTTTTTATAAATGTCTCTGATAGCAAACAGCTTCTGTGTACAGTGAGCTGACTGGTTATACACATCAATGAGAATGTTTGTCATAAAATACATTTTCTCTTTTAACATTTTCTTACATGTTGGCTGCCATGGAAAACCTCAGACTGCCCACATCATGTTGACAGGCAGAGGTGCAAACATGTTTGCAGAGAGCATTGGTATAACCACAATTCCCACTGAGACACTGGTGACTGAGTATGAGAGGAAAGAGTGGGAGAAACACAAGAATTATGTCGCTGGTGTAATGGAAGATTTCAACTCTCACTGGTAGGTATCTGCAGTATTTCACTTTATTTTGACACTTTCTTGTCTGGACTTTAATGTCCTAATAAATCTCTACACATACAGCATCTTTTCAGCCTGAATAGCCTGACAGTATCTTGAAATAGAGTTAATGCGCACTATTAAATATAAATGCTCTACTGTACAGAATAACTGGTGTGCTCGCCCTATCTTTAAACTGATGTGCTGTTCATTTGCAGTGTAGAGGCACAGCTCTAGATTAGCTCATATACTATGCCAAACATGGTGGCATGTGGTGGTACATTGCTTATTGAATACTTTTTCTTTTACAGCAATTCTCAGGACAATATAGATTTTTTTTTTTTCATTCTAGGGCCCATGATACTGTTGGTGCAGTCGCTGTGGACTGTGCTGGTAATGTTGCATGTGCAACATCAACTGGAGGGATCAGAAATAAGATGGTTGGCAGAGTAGGAGACTCTCCGATTATTGGTATAACTTAATTTATATATATTTTCTCAAATAGCACCTTATACACTGTCAGCTGCAGAATAAATTATGTTTGATGTCATTATCATTACAATTGCTCTATCCAAACAAGTTAAGTTTTTAAGATTTATACTCACAACTTGAGTTTAATTTATGTCATGACTAGTTTATAAGATATGACTCAATGTTTTTGTTTTTTCATGCTCTCTCTTGGAAATAAGGCTGTGGAGGATATGCAGACAACTTTAGTGGTGCAGTGTCTTGTACCGGTCATGGAGAGTCCATTCTTAAAGTTACACTGGCCAGACTCATTCTCTCACAGATAGAACAAGGTAAAATATCAGGCTTTCAAACTGTCTGCATGAAGACAAGCCACATAGGTCCGACTTTATCTGACCTTGATATAATTTGATGTCACCACTTGTGTTTTCAGGGATAATCATTCATTCACAGATGTGATAGAACTATATTAATTCTACACAGAATCAAAATTTGGTAGCAAGAAAGTGAAAACTTGTGTAGGTAATTCATTTTTGAAAATTAAAGATTCTTTGTCTGGGTAAAAAAAAAAAAAAGTTATTAATTTGATTACTGGAAAACATTCACATACAATTATTTATGTGAATAAACTTTGCAAATTTATTATTAAGGTTTCATTAAAATCTATCTCCAAATCATTTTTGGAGTAGAGTAAGAATTTGCAAGGATATTAATTGAGGAGCTGGTTAGAGTTCCAACTTTGGCGTGAATTTAGCTCAGGGGTAATTTTCAAACAAATTTGGATATGCAAACAAATTTTTAATATTTTAATTTATTTTCATAATTTCTTCTTCCCTCATGCAGGTAAATCAGTAGCAGATGCTTCACAGTTGTCTCTGCGGTACATGGGAGACCGCGTTCGAGGTGCAGGAGGTGCAATTGTAGTTTCTCCATCGGGGCAGTGGGCAGCCACATTTACCACAGAGCGGATGGCTTGGGCAGCTGTGGAAAGTGATGTTCTGTGGTATGGATTAGATCCAAATATGAGGTTAAAAGAGCAGTTTTCCACATAACAAGTTTAACAGCTTTTTGTCCTTATTAACCATTGTACTGAGCAGTATTATAGGGAACTGTATTTCACATATGTTTTCTACTAATTCACTTGGATCACTTGGTCTGACATGGTGGATATTAGCTACTGTTGTCTGTAGCTACATTTAATTAATAGTGTTTTCTTCTGTCTACTCTGTGATGTCAAAGCTACAAACTCTTCATATGTGCTGTGAAACATAAATTGTAAAAGATTGAGAAGATAAATATTACAGTCTTGAGACTCAGTCACTGGAGCAACTAATCCATACATTTGCCTAGTTTATCTTGAGGTGTATCTGTGCAAGTGTTATTTCTCAGATTTGATAGACCATCAAGTATTCTGTATGTCAGTATTCAGTCTGTGTGTGTATTTCATTCTGACCGTAGGACAGAAAACTATCGTCCTCAAGGTGGGATGGGAGAGTTGCTCCCATTTTAGTAATTATTTCTTTGATTAGCACTTAATGAAATGAGCTCTTCAATCTGAGCTGATTAACTGATAGAAGTGCTGTATGTCTTTGAAATCTATCTGACATTTTTTTCACTAAAGGTCATTCAGTTCCATCACAAGTTGTTTGGTTTTCAGTGCTCTTTAAGCACCCCGAGTGCACTTGTTTTTAACATAAAATAGCCTCATTGATGAGCTTCCACTTTATTAGCCCTGCAGCATTGTTGGCCTGGCTTCATCCTTTGAAACAATGGCTGCTCAACCAGAGACAGTCGCTGTTAATAAAACTGATTCAGAATTAGAATGAGATAGCCTGAGCATTTGCTCCCACTGTAATGTAAGATATGAGGGCAGCTCTGAATTATTCACATAGTGTATTTCATTTTTAAAAACCGGATATTTCCATTTTAATGTCTTTATAGCACCTAAATAACACCTCTGACAGAAATGTCCTCCTAGACTGGATAAATCTTCTTATACCTCATTTAGTTTTTTCATTTACACATTTCTTTACATATTACTTTTGCATTCCATAAGTAATAGAAAAAAATGAACACAACTGTGATACTGTAGTTAGAGGTGTAGATGTGCAGTGAATGTTTTCAAGCTTTAGTAAAATATTTAAATCTTATTAATCTAAAAGAAAGTAAACCAAGAATTGTAACTGATCATATGGTAACTACTGTCCTGCAATCGATGTCAGATATTTTACCTTTTCACTTTAATAAATAGAAATAAATTAACATGTTTTAATGTTAATAGCCTCTTTAAGGTCTTCCTTTCTCTACATGGGACTGTTGAATGCTTTTGACGGATTATTTTTGATTCAAGGTCAACCTCTCACTACTTCTGCCAGTGTCCTTTTCCTCACTTTTGCCAAACCAGCTGTGTTCTTTAGTTTGTTGTCTGGACGTTGGAGAGCAGAGGCTGTGAGGCCTGATCCTGTACAACATTGCTGTCCTGGCTCACAGAACTGGCACTATCCAAAACAGTTCAAACACAGAATACATCTTTGTCAAAACAGAAGGGTGTTGCAAGAATAAGAGTATGTTCCATTCCTGAACAGGTATAATGAACTTGTGATAGACATCCAACCTCCACAGCTCATTGAAAAGATAGGATAGTTCCTTGTTTAAAGCTGGTCCGTTACAGAAAGTACAGACAAATGACGAATACGGCAGACATAATAAACACAGTTACTAATGGGAAATGTTTATATATGCTATAATGTACCTTGATGCATTCAGTCCACTGAGAAACACTGCAAGAACAAGAACTCCACAAAACCTGTATATCACACATTCAAAACATTAGACTGAGAAAAAAAGTAGCATGGTTATTCTGACTTTTAGTCTGTGGTAACTGACTAATATTAACAAAAAGAAAAATCATTATTACAGACAGTGTTATAAACTGCAACAATATAGCTAAACTGAACTTGTCTACATTGAGTAAATTAATTTTCAGGCTTATAAGGGTCAAGAGTAAAAATACGTACCTTGTGGCCATTATACTTCTTGCAGCTTCCAGCTCAGAGTACAGCAGAGTAGTCACTTAGCTGTTTCTCTATGGGCCTAGTCAAAGCCTACATATTGGTCTACACATACCTTTTACAGACTGGACATCATTTAACAATATGTCATTTTAAACTTCCCTGGGTGAGTGGGCTCTTGTGGCATCAAAACATCCTACCAAGAACATCCTGAGTTACCCAGTTAGCCTCTGGGAGCTTGACCCCCCTGAAACTCCTAAATTACCCATGGAGCCTGGATTGTTTGGGAGTAGCCCTGAGCTGGAGTGGGTGAATAATGTGAGGCTATATCATCCGCACATCTGAACCAGTGGCTCTGTGCTGTTCCTCTGAGAGTGTTCACAGCATTTTTGGTTGTGTTCAACTTTTAAATCCCATTCATAGTTTTTACACAATGACAGTTCCAGTTTTACGAATATTTTTGGACCTTTTCATATTTTAACACTGGTGTGTATTTGGCGGAATGTTCAAAGCTAGAGTGAGTGACATCACAGTTAGAATGGGGAGAAACTTTTTAAGTAGTGTAAAAATTTTCTGTTTAACTCGCCCTCATTTCCACGAATTTCACTCTTCACACATAATGTTTTACCAGAATGTAGGTAAATTTCTCTTCTTTCACAAAATGTGATAATCAAAACAGCTATTTACAGAATTTGAACTATGACTTTCAAAGCAGCAAGAGTACCATCCAACTGCCTCAATCACTTTAATATAAACTGAGAACAGAAAATCAGGAGGAAAACAGGAAGCAGGGCATTTTAAAAATCACTGCACATGCTACATTTTTCACACCACAGACAAATATTTTATATCACTGTGTTCAGCAGAGTCTCTTGTCTCAGAAAATATAAAGTTTTAGGGGAAAGTAATTATGATCTTTTACTGGTAAGCCCGAGTTCTTTCAACTGAATCCATGTCTCACAATAGAAACTAAGCAATTAAAATCACCATGGCAACCTGAGTGTAGTGGGGCACAAAGCTGATTCATATCAGCTGATTAGAAGGATTTCTGTGGTTATTATACACTTGACTGACATTTCTGTTAAAGTCCTGCTACAGACTGTTGCAACGTTACATAAAAAACACATGGATTTACACACATTTCCAGAGTTTTCACTAGAAATATGTTTTAGTATAATTTTAGACAGATGACATTTGGCAGTTAATTTCACACACATAACCACAAACATACACACACACAAATCTATTTCTCTATAATGTAGTCTCTATTTCAATTGATTTCCCCAAAGTTAACCAAATTAAATGATAGTCATGGTGAGGATATTATAAATACACACAATGTCGATTAAAAAATCTCTTTTTTTAGTAGCCAGCCTCAGCTTTTCCAGAGGCCAGATATCCCATCGTAATTCTTCAGAAATTTCATAGTCTAGATCATATTATTATCAGATTTCATGGAGTTAATTGTACCTGTTTACCTGTGTGTGATTTCTAAAGTTTTAACTACAACCTGCTTGTCTTCTATTTTTCTTTCAGATGGATGATGGGAAGAGAGGAGGAAAGGAGTGGAGTGGAGAGGAGGAGAGAGGGAGGAGAGGAAGCTGTGAATACGAAGCAAGCGTCAGACAACATAGTTTGCTGTTGAAGAAAGTTAACCGGTCTTAAATCTTGTTTACAAAGTATAAAGACTGACAAGCTAACTGCTGTAGAGTGTTGTGTCTGTGCTATCAGCTGCCATGCTACCTGTAAACACAAGCCACGTGACAAGCGGCGCTGCCTGTCAGGGGCTTTGCAGCACCAGGGGCGAATGACGGCTGAGTTAGAGGAAGTTACTGGGACCAGCTGTGCTAGTATGTAACCTTACGCGAATTGGATACGGCATTGCAGCAAGAAAGGGGTAAGAGTTTTATATATGTGGACCCAGATATTTCTAAATATCCCAGCTGCAAGCGTAGTAACAGCTGCATGTGGGCGTGCTCGCCTAGCAGCTCTCAGGCTACAAACAAACTTGGTATCCAGGGCCTATGCTAACGCGACTTAGCAAGCCTGAATGACAGATTTAGCATCGAGCTGTACAACTAAATATTTACATTTTTTGTGCAACATATGTTCGCTTTCCCGGTACACACGTTTATTGACGCAAATGCCTTTTACAGTGATACTGCTAGAGTTTAATACAGTGAGTTATCTTGGGTGGTAACTTCCACCATAAGTTACCGTTAGCTTGCTAGCGTACCTTATCAACGCGTTCTGCAGCGGGTTGTTGTCACGTTAGCATGCTAACTAGCAAACATCTCACTGGCAGAACCTGGCCATACATACTCGGTGTTTCACATGGACATTATGATATATTAGGTGATATTAAACCAATACGCGTAAATATCTACACCAGTCTGTTTGAGATTTAAGTAGGTAATGTTTTTGTTTATGCACTGCTCAGTTCTGGCCTGCTCCAGTTGTGCAGTTGTACTTGATTTAAAAACGGTAACTAGCAGTTCATTTTACGTTAGTCTCACTCTTTGAAGACTCTCTAAGTTGGTTATAGGAATAGTTTCCTTTCACTTATTTAAAGATACGTCAGCTTATCGACAGTGCACAATTTTGGGCAATGTAAATATTGACGACCCACGGAAATGGCAAAAAAAAAAAAAAAAAAGAAGCTAGCGACGTTGGCTCAACGTAGCAGGATAGCAAACAGTGTAGCATAAACTATTGATGGAGGCAACCCAGAGGCGAAGTTTTAAGCTGTCTGTCACTGTATATGCAACAACTATTGTATTGTATTGTAATGTCTCTGATGTAACACTGATCCATTACGGACAGTACACAAGTACTTACAACTTTGTTATACTGTTTGATTGCCAGTAGTTATATGGAGAAGTTGTCTCAAACTAGTTTGGCCTTTGAAAACGGTTAATATTTGATTAGATCCTCACTGGCCTGCTTATATTAGACCATGATGTCCAACTGAGCCTATTCAGATATATTCTCTGGTGCTGGGATAGGTGTCTGGAAGAATTATTAACATCATTTTATTTAAACAAAATGAGTCACCTGACACCTGCTTTCCCTGCACTCTGTCTGTGTTGTTCTGATGCAGGAAGGCAGCAGCATTCATGGATATTGTGGACACCTTTAACCATTTAATACCCAGTGACCAGTTGGATGACTCCCTGATAATAGGACAGAATTTGGAATGTGAAGCCAGTAATGAGTTTGGTACAGGACTCCGACTGGAAGATTCACTGAAGAACATGCTCAGTGACAAAGATCCCATGTTTGGATGTGCAAGCTCTCAGTTCAATCTGTTGGACAATGAGGACTCCACTTTTCAGGTTACTGGCTCCACAGGTATGTCAACAGACAAAATAGATGGTAAAAATGGCTAAATGTAGATTGGTACTGACACCAGAGTTTGATTAAAAGCTGACTAACATAAGCTACTACCAAGACTTCACATGGCTGCTTCACAATAAAAGCCATTCAGAATTAACCTGAAAACTTTGTAGAGGAA